TTCTTAAAGTTCATAATGAAATAGAACAGAACTGCCAGAAGATTGAGCTCATCCCTTCAAGCATAGGTTTCAACACTGAAGTAGAAAAGTTTTGCTGTGAAAAATATGAATGGGGCAGGGGATAAGATGAACGGCCCTGAGTTAGGGTCTCTTTTCTGAAAGGTTACCCTTCATCAGAAATAAGGCAATGAGGTAGCAAGCAGGATCTTGACGCTGGGTGGGATGTCAGCCTCTGAACACAGCCTTGTTTCTGCAGGCTTGGTTTCAGTGTTCAGGATGTTTGTTCCGGCACCAACAGTGGCCTCACACTAGTGACAGGATCAGGTTTGAGAGGCTGAGGACAAATAAAGCTTGAAGTGTCCCATATACCAGCTCTGTGGGGAGGTCAAATAGCAACAGAGAGTTCTTTGGAGAAGCTTCCATTGAAAGATGTGTCAATGACATCGTGATGACCCCAAAGACAGAAGACAAAGAAGAATCGAGTTCATGTGGGGCCAGAAGGCTTCGCTCACCAGACTTTCTCTCAGAATAAAAGTCCTTATGCAGCTCCTACAAATCTGTAATTTCACTTGAATTGAGTGTGTGTGCTTAGAAATCAAAAGCTCAGTTCTACTGGCCCATGATATAAGATCTCCACTGAAGGCAAAACAAAAGGAAATACGATGAAATTGGTGCAAAGAGGTTTTAGATTAAATAAGATAAATGCTTTCCTTACTCAGGTGATATATAAACTGTTGAAATCGCAGTGAAACGGAAACTAGGATCTCCATCCTCGGAGACTGAACAATGGGACAGAAAAGGTTCTGTTCTGTTCCATTTGGTTTTGACTCAATCACGTGCCACCGTTGGCCTTCATTTGTGGTTTAGCCCTTTTATTTGCTCGGGCAGCACCTTCCTTAGACTGAGCAGCTTGGGGCTGGGACCGTGTCACTTGGTCAGAGAGTAAGCCCCGTGGAGTTAGCACATCCAAGTTGTTAACTGAGCAAGTAAGTAGCACCAACCAAGGAAGGTACCCTATACTACCTCTTTGTAAAACTGGTCCCAAAACATTTGCTTGTATAGCATTAAAAAATGAAAAAACCTGGAATATTTGTAACGCTGATCAGTAAAGGTGAGCTTTCACACATTTTGCTCTGGCATTCTCCTGACAGAAGAGACAGAGAGGACAGATCCAGTCCTTTTTATCTAATGCCTTATGGTCTCCAGAAGTTTTAAGAAGACCAGACTAGAACTGACACTATCTCTCTCTCTTTCTCTCTCTCTCTCTCTAATCCCAGGTCACACCTCTTCACAATGGGCTGATTATAAATGGTCATTGACACCCTGATATTTAGAATTTCAAGGCAGAGGAGGCCACTGCTCACCAGTTTCTAATGATAACAAGCCAGGGAACACTGAGCCCGGAATAACTTCTTTCAACAGGGCCACCTGTTTTATAAATTCTGGATTACCAATGTGTCTCTTGTTTTTTTCCTCTTAGGTGACCTTGAGCAAAAATTTGAATTGGAAATCAGTCCTCTTTGTAATCAACAGAAAGATTCAATCCCCAGTATACAAATTGGTGAGTTGAATGCCATGTGAGTTTGACATTAATAGTCGGCACCTCTGTCAAGAGTCAAAAATAAAAAGACCCAAGTTCAGCGCTAGAGGTCAGATCAGCTGAGTCCAAATAAATACACATGTTCTTCATTGCTGTTCTACTAGATAATTCTCAACCGATAAAGTATGAAAAACAGAAGAAAAGTGTTACAAACCTTAAACTGACAAAATGCTGTTATATTAACTATGCAGTTTAGAATTCAATTAAAAATCAAATCAAATAGAAAAAAAGTAACAACAATCAGCTATTCACCACGGTTTTAAAGGCCAGGAGTCAGCCAAATTGGGCCTCAGGACCCTTCCAGAGCAGGTCCCTACCCCCATCACAGACACTCGTTCCCCTAAGCGCGGTCCACAGGCCTAAGATGCTGCAGCCCTGTTTTGGGTCCCATCTTTCTGTCCCCCATTTCAATTCACATTCTCAAGCTCATTTTCTTAAAATCACACTCTCTTTTCAAGGGTCGGTAAACTGCTAATGGGTAACGATGCTGGGGGCACCCAAAATAATTGTTACCTTATCTAATTGTATTATGCATAAGATCATTAACCACAACAAATGATGGAAATGTTTCTTTCTTCACTAAGTGAAGAAAATATTTTTGATTTGGTAAGAATTTCTATTACTTTTAAATCTCCAGTTCCACCTATATGCAAAGCAAGCCTTTTTGTATCTTGCAATTTCCTTCCATCAAAACCAAGCACATAACTTTAACTCTTTTTTATTATAGCTCTGGTCCTGAAATATAGCAGTTCTTTTTTTTTTTTTTTTTTACTGTGCCCACAGACCTCTGGCAGGTTAACGCATTTATAGGGCCATAGGTCATGGCAAGGTTCAAACTTTAATGCCTTGGCATTGGGAGGGAAAGGGGCATTTGGAAAGACCAACTGAAAGGAAAGAAAATCAGAGAATGTTAGAATTACATGCCACCAATCCCTGTATGTCTTATCTTCAAAGGAGTCATAAAGTCATCCTCAGGAAATAAAAACTAGGTGAACTCAGCTATGAAGATATGAACAGAACATACAAATACTCAAGTGGGTTTATTGGAATTATGACATTAGGGATGATTCCTCTATTTCCAAGTTGCTTTTAATATTGTTATGTTGTTTTTAATAAATAAACTGATGCCTCCACCCCAAAAATGGAGGAAGATAATACAAATATGGAGCGCAGGGAAGATGACAACATCATTGACAGAAATACAGCCTTAAACTCCTTGAATACAGATATGTAGTGTCATGGAGGTTCTACAAATACGGGTTCCTAACCCCGAAACACTATGGTAAGCTCTGGCTAGAAAAAAAATTCCAGGCCGCTGTTAGTGATATTTTGAAACACACACACACACACACACACATACACACACAGAGTGAAAGCATTCACCCTTTAAACATAAACCTGAATTTGCAAGACAGCTCTGATTTCAGAGATTCAGACCTGTCGTTGTCATGAGAAAACACTCATTTTGTCAGCTCATTTGTCCTGATTTTCAGGAAATTGCGGTTACCATAGATACCTCTTTTTAAAATGGGGTGTAGGGTGAGTAAATAAGGAAATCCCATGAATGCTACCTCAGCGCACCAGCAATAACGAGAAACAGAAGGTGATTATAAAATGACTCTAGTTCATAAATCTTTCCCTTTCTTGTCCTACACGCCAGTTCATATAGGCTCACAGTAGGGAAGTCAGATAAGGATAGATAGGGCTGAACTGGAAAAACCCAAACCCATAAACAGAGAAGAGGGATGCTGTAGGCTTCCACCTCCGTGCCCCTGAGCCCCATCCAGCAATGACTTCCCCACTGAGTCCGCAGTAATGCAGCCATTTCTTCTGCCCCGACTCAGAGCTCCTCTCTTTTTCCAGTCCCAATCTAAAATGAGAATTTTGTAAGTGCAGGTCTCAATCAGGCTAAGATTTTCCCATTTGAGTAATTAAATTTACCCAAATGAAACTGGGGCATAGTATTCCCTCCCACCAGCAACCTGCCCTTCCCTTTTTAAAAGGAAGGCATGAATATCCAATTGGCCACATTCCTCCTTATCCCACTGCCACCCCTCAGACGGACAGCACTCCTGCAAGTGAGCCAACCCCGGTAAAGATTCAGTGGCAAAGCAGGCTCCAACTGGCTTTCCTGTATGTGAAAAACCACCTCATGATGTCCATTCAGATTTTAAAATGGCTTTCCTGCCTAGCATAAGAGCTCTGTATATCTGATAAGTGTAAAGATGCTAATCATACTGTAAACAATAGAGTAGCATCATTTTACAAACTATCTTTTTAGGTATTTAATATCTAATTTTTAAGTAAAAGATATTAGAAAGTAGAAATTAGATATGGAGATTGCAAAGGAGATAAAGAAAATTCAAGAATAGTAAGCACAGTGGCACACGCTACTCAGCAGCCTGAGCCAGGAGGATGGCAAGGTCAAAGCCAGCCTGGGCAGTTTATCAAGACTGCATCGCAAAATAAAACACCAAAAGAGATGGAGGCATATCTCAGCGGTGCAGCAAACCCGGGTTCAGTCCCTAGCACAGGAAGAAAGAAAGGGAGAGGAGGAAGTAGGGGGGGGGGGGAGGAGAGAGAGCAGAAGCAGAAAGAATGAAAGAGAGAAAGAAAGAAAGAGGGAGAAAGAAAAGGGAGGAAGGAAGGAAGGAAAGAACGGAGGAAGGAAGGTGACGTAAAACAGGAAATCTGTATTTGCTGACTATATGACATTATCAAAATGCCCCATACAGATACACAGCTACTGGCTTAACTTCTTTCTTTGCATTCAAGAAATTACCTAAAATGATCTCTCAGTATTTAAATCATTATTTTGCATAAGATGAGATAATGCAGAAACATACAGTAACATTTCACGTTATTATAGTCTTTTTCTGTCTTTCAAGCATCCTCAAAGGCCAAATGTCTACTGTTTGTCCAGTAAAAAGATTACCAAATCAAGACAAAATTTATATGCCCATAAATACACAGGCTTAGTTGCTGGACGATACTGTTATGCTGTAAAACATTTGTCTCTTCTTCCCACATTTACGTTTCAAGGAAAAACAATGAAACCTAAATAAATCTCAGTTTGTGATGATTCCAAGAATTCTAGCCTAGACTGAAAGTTATCTTTGCTTAACAAATCATTGTTTAATGTGGAAAACACATTAACATCAAAACACAATTAGGAAGCATCAGATCTTCAATCATTAAGAAAACAGAAATGTAAACAGAGAAGTTAATATCAAACGATCTTCTGCAGTCATTAAAGTGGGACTGTTCTTGCAGTTAAAAATTTGTACTTAAAATGAATGAGCTTGCTTACCACAATGGAAAGCCAGAGCCAGAGACAGTGTTGAAACACATACTGCACACGGAAAGGTATGAAGCCACAAAGCATCCCTTCCTGTTGTCATTTGCCCCTTCTCTCCCTCCCAACCTGCCTTCCTTAGTTCCAGCACACAGTCTTTTTTCCTTTTCTCCTTTAGGTCTTTCTCCCTCTGCAAATAATCACAGCCCCTACTTAGCCAGGGCTTATTTTGTGTGCGAAGCTGTTAAGCGTTTTACATGTTATGTTAGTTGGCTGTTCATCACTGTGACAACTTTCTGCAAAGATCAGTTTAAAGGAGGATAGGTTTGTTTTGGCTCATGGTTACAGAGGTTTTAGTGCATAGTGAGCTGGCTCCATCGCTCTTAGGCCTGTGGGGAGGCAGAAATACCATAGCAGAGGGCCTGGTGGAAACACAGCTCGCCTCATGCCCCTTAGGACGCAGAGAAGGGAAGAGCCGGGGAGGGCCCCAGAGGCAGGCCCCGAGGACCTTCCTCCAGGATGCCTCCTTCAGCTGGGCCCCACCCGCTGTTGCCGTGCCTCCCGATGATCTCAAGCCAGTGGGCTTGGCTTCTTCTTAGCTCCTGTACACAAAAGAGGAAACCAGAAGCACAGAGAAGTTAAGTGACAGGCCCACAGCATCACATCTCGGGGTCCTACCCTAAGGGAGGGGACCACACCTTGTTCGCGTCCCTGTCCCCTGCCAGGTGCTCTGGGGCCCCACGTGCGCTGGGGAAGCAGGGCGCAGTGACACCTAGGTGACCGGCGTGGCCTTGCCTGTTGCAGGTTTCATGACCTACATCGTGGAGCCGCTCTTCCGCGAGTGGGCCCGCTTCACCGGGAACAGCTCGCTGTCCGAGAACATGCTAAGCCATCTCGCCCACAACAAAGCGCAGTGGAAGAGCCTGCTGTCCAAGCAGCACAGGCGCAAGGCCAGCGTCCCCGGCGCCGAGCAGGACAGCTCGGGGGCCGTGAGTGAGGAGCAGACTGTGGCCGAAGGCGACGCGCCCTAGCTCCGCGCGTGGCCACCCCGGATCTCCGCGAGCCAGCGAGCCAGGCCTCCGCGAGCGCCGGCCGAGGGCGCTCTTGCCAGCAGCCCAGCGCGCCTGGGTTGCGTCCCGCGCTCTCTGGAACGTCACCCTCCTCCCACGCACCCTCCTCCTTGTTCCGAGTGTACAGAAGCCATGCGTCACCTCAGCATTCGCTGCCGAATGAGCAACTCCATTCAGTCACGCGGGAGCTGATTCCAGGCAGGCTGCCCCCAGCACCCCACCGCCCCCAAGGAGAAGACAGCAGTGAGAAAGAGGTGCTTCTGCCGGGTCCCCTCGGGCTCCGGGGCGCACTGCGACGAGCAGCAGCCCCTAGGGCCAGAGCGTTTTGGGGTTCGCCATCTGACTGCTGATCCGCAGGACAAAAACACCAGCATATTTGGAACTTGGAGGACAGTGGTCTTAGGTGCAAGAGCACAAACGAGAGCGTGAAAGTACCTTCTATTTTAATAATAATTATTATGAGAATAATAATAAATCTTTTTAACTTTTATATTTTATGCACTAGACAATGGATCTGAAACTTTGAACTAAGATTAATCAGTGTACCCAAACTTGAACAGGGGGGGTGCACTGTTTTGCTATTGACTTATGCCACTTTGGGTCAGCGATTTGGCGTCTTCTCAGAGTAAGAACCACGTTTCCTTCTGATGGGGGAAGGTGCTGTACAGTCCATTCCTTTGCACCGTTAGCCAATCTGTCTTTTATGGATTCAGTGACCTGTTTATATTCACACATGTACATTTTCTGTAAATACCTAGCGCTACTGATTCCCATGCCAAAATACATGAGTATTATGGGATTGCTACCTGTATAAACAACGGCACTGTGAACAGAATACTGTTAGTTTTAATACAAGAGAATGCATTTGTAAATATGGTATAGAGTTTATTAATATACTATTGTTTGCAGATAAAGGCCTTAACTTTAAACATCTTTCATCTTCTGAAAGCTGCCCAACTTAAATCCTCACAGACATCTTTCTGAACTGCCTGCCCAGGTCCATCCTTACCCTTTTCCACCACAAAACCCAAACTGAAAACAGCACGGGGGGAACGTTTTCCTGGAAACTTCACGTGCATTCCGCTTGAGACCATAGTTTTAATCTATGGCACCGAGCAACATTTCCTCAGATTAATGAGACCCTTCAGCAAGTCTGAAGCCACTTTTCAACACAGTGATGTTGCACACTCTGTTTTAACAAGCCAGCTGATAAGCTTGTGTTTATGTGACTTGTTATGGAACATGGTGGTGCGTCAGCCTCACAGGAGACATAGCAGGTCTCGGAAACCTCCTATGACCCTGTCATCCAACCATCAGGGAATTCCCTGCTCCCATCCCACGTATTTGTCTGTTATGGCTACAGTACCAAAGTATCTTTGGTCTATGGTTGGTGTGTGTTTCCTCGGTGTTAATAGTAACTGGATTTTTCTTTTTCCTTAATTTCATGTAAACAAATGCCCCATTGTTTGGCTGAAGTTAACATTATTTAAGTAAAGAAACTATTTCAGTTTTATGACAGATTTTACCTTCCTGGCAAGTCACTGTGGTTAATTATGGCTGGAGTGAGTAGAAACTCTTCGGAATTTTGTTGCTCTTTCTCTCTGCAGACACTTGGCTGCAAAATCCAATTTATGACAGCATTTTTCCTGGTCTGCTAAACTCTGTGCATTGAATCTTTTCTTTGGAAGTTCTAGCATAATTAATGCTCCATGAAAAGTGTTGATGTCCATTTCTCTTTACCTTAAACAATGTGATAGTGACAGAATAATCATTTCAGTCATAACCAAGCTGTTTCTCAAGCTTGTAGAAAGACAGCCAAGTCTCGCTTCCTAAGTGCAATGGGTTTGGTTTTTCGTTTTTCTCCTAACGTAAAAATGAAACTTTAGAAACTTGACTGTCCTGTAATAAGTTCCTGTAGAGAGACTGAGGCTTTTAGGAGTAAGGTTTGGTGGAAATTTTGGAAAGTTGGTTTTATTTTCATTAAAGAAGGTGAAATTGGTAGATGGTGCTAATGAAGGTGTGAAGATCTTATGTAATGGGTGGGTGATAAATTAAAATTACTGATATAGGTAAAAAGGGAAGTGGTGTAAACTTAGAAAACACTGACTTTTTCTTTCTGTAGTGACTATTGGCTGACACATATTTCTTTATCACTTAAATGTTCTAAAACTCAGCTTGATGAAGCCCCAAAAGAGAATCTGTTGGATGGATTCCTGCTTCCAAATTTTTTTACTTGGTTAGATGATTCAGAGTGCTAAGGAGTCATCTGTTTTGAATGTGTATGAGATCAAATTAGGCAAAGCAATTCCTGGGAATGGAAAGAAGCGATAGGAAAGAAGACCTTGTTTTAGCTAATGGAAGCTCTACCTTGAATTTAGGAAGTGGGTTTTGTTAAATTATAATTATATCATGACTTAAATAAAGAAAAATAAATGTGATCAGAGTTGCTTCAGATTTATAGGGTAAAAGCATTGCTGTTACAATTTAGTTTTAAAGAAGAGCTCACAGGTAAAACTACCAAAACATCCAATGGTTAATCCTCTGCGATATCAACTAACTAGTACAATAAAAATCTGAAGTAAAATGAGACATGCCCCAAACTATGTGCATTTGTCTGTGTCATTGAACCGTCTGGAGATTTCTTAAGTTCCTCTTTGTTGGAAAAAAAGAAAAAGAAAGGGAAAAAAAAAAAACCCTCTTTTCTTCTTGCTTCCTAGTGGCTCTCTTATAATACTTCAGCAAGAATCCAGTTACAAGTGGAAATATAACTATTGGAGCATCCATGGATTTTGATCTTCACAGTCTTGTTCTGAGGTCCCATGGATCATCAAACATTGACTTGCCAAGTTTAATTCTTTTATTGTTTGAGAAGAAAGGACACAAAGGGCTATTTTTAGTAAGCTAAAGTTAAGATCAAATTAAGAAAGTAGGTATACATCACTGCCAGGCCTCATAGTAAAAGCAGCAATGAAAAGACTTGACTTATGAAACCCTGACTTTCCTAATAGCTCCCTGCTAGGCTAAATGAAAACTGGCTCTATTTCTCCTGCTTATGGCTTCCCACAGAAGGCCTTGGAGGGCGTCTGGCAACCCTGTCTTCAGGTAGTTCTTCCTGTGAAACACGGACTTATTTTGTAATCTTCTCTCATGTTGAATCAAATAATGCTCACTGGTTTGGATTTGGCTATGAGCTTGTAACCCACTGTATTTCTCATGCTTTGTTCCTTTAAGCAAATCCTTAAAATTGTGTTGTTTTTGTGTACACATGTAAGGTTTGGGGGAAAAAATTGTGAATTTTGCTCAAAATGTGGCCTAAATATCCATCAGCATGTCTAGATGAACAATTAAAAATAAAGATAATTTCTTTAAAATATTTTTAAAATATTCTGATTCTTACCAAGTAACATGTTACTAGCCAACCAACTGAAAATACATATGAAAGGAATGTTCAAGGAAAGAGCAGAAGTACAAACATGGTCCCCATCCCCATTCCATCCTGGGACTACCAACACACCTGCCTGGGCGATGCTATCACTTGCCAGTTAGCACCGAGTTAGGGAAATGGCTCAGCCATCAGGTAAACATTTCTCTGAGTTCTGATGTTTTTCTCAATTCACATTTTCCAAAAAAAGAAGGTACAATATTTGAGGTTATGAAAATATAACAACCTCAATTCAATAAATATTTGTGTCAAATACTATGTCACTTTTCAAGATTGGAAACTATGTAGAACAATAAAACAGTTCAGCACAGGACTGCTGAGTGCCCTGCATATATCTTGAAATAAATGAGAAAAAGCACCACTCATGTTTCCCAGAAATAACGTTATATCCTTATGTATTACCCATATCCATTTTGTTAAGATTTTTATTCAGAATCCCCCTGATTTTTTAAATTCCTCTTCTTGTCCGAATGCAAAGCCACATTTGTATTTGTGGATACCCCAGATCATAAAGTCAAAAATCAAAAGAGAGACCCCAGTGGTTTCTCAACTAAAGATCAAACGTGACTTTCAAATTACCCATGGACTTAGCTGAAACTTTGTCAAGTAGAGGAAACCTACAAAAACAATTAAATATAAATAAAGCAAATATTGATGAAAGAGTCACTATGTTCCAGATGTGCTGGATATTGAGATATGAGAAGACCCAGATCCAGCATTCAAACTTGTGTAACGATTAGCATTACCAGGGAGCACTCAAAAAACCCCTGTAGCCAAAGCTCCCTCCTAGATCCAGTATAATGTAATAGAAAGTAGATAAGCTTTCAAGATAGAAATGGGTCCCAATCCTTTTCTGTCATTAACTTAGTCTGTGACTTGAGGGGAGTTATCAAAACCACTATAAAAGTATTTCTAACTAGTAATGCCTTTTACAATATTGTGGCAATTAAGAGATTGCCTACAAGTACAGAGCACTTCTGATGTGTGGAAGACTTTCAATAGATAGAATAACTTTCTTAAATAACAAAAAACTTGGCAAATAATTATTCACACGTAGATAAGGATAGGGAGACTTAGGAGAGAGAAGAAGGGCTGGTGGTGATTTCTTATTTTAAAAACTCAAACTCATTTTTACAGTTTTTTGTTTGTTTGTTTGTTTGTTTTGTGGGGGGGGGTCTTTTTCCTTTTTTTCGGTACCAGGGATCGAACTCACGACCGCCTGCTTGCAAGGCAGGCGCTTGTGCCGCTGAGCTAAATCCCCAACCCCTCATTTTTACAGTTTTTGACACTTGTTTGAGAAGTTAAATAAAAAGAT